GTCTGACTCTCTCTCGGCCGATTAATACATACGTAGCACCTGTAATTAATATCGGCGCGATATAAGCATGTACGAGCGGTAAAAATCGTTTCCATGCATGCAAATGAGCGACTCGGCATTAATTAGCGTCAACATCGTCGAGGCGAGCCGCCGCCTTGCATTGCGCGAGTGTGTAAAAGCCCGTACAACGCAGAAACGATCTACATATTGAGTTCATACACGTACGGATATATGTGCGCGTGCTCATGTCTTACCGATAAATGTCACAGTCAATCGCGCGTGTCAAACGACATCAAGTTTTGTTTATCGCCAAGCGGAAGGAAACTCGCGAGATATAGTCAGGGAATATCGGCGCGAATAATGAATCATAAAGGGCTCGCGATGCCTCGAATTAATTGCCTATCAATCTGCATCTATCTGCACTGATCCGTTTCTTCAGAGCGAGCTAAATTCTGGACATTGTGGACATTGTGCGACGATGTCCACAATGTCCACAATGTTATTCGTTAACACCAAAATATCTTAACCCGGGATTATAGGTGGTTATGAGAGACGAAGATCTGTATGGACTTTATAGTTTTTATTAACGCGGCGGATAGAGTGACGGTGTCATTTGATAAGGATACTTAAAAGAAAAATGTTACGGTTGATTTAATGGAGAGCGACATCGATTTCTCTAAAATCTTATGATTGAAAGCATAATTATCTTATATATCACGTACGTTTCTCTCTCTGTGCAATTAATACAGTATATTATCGTGGACAAATCAACACGTCCGACACATCGTCTGACAACATATTTCGCATGTCGTGCCGTCTATAATTACGATATTTCAAACTCTGAAACAAGTTCGTTCTAACATAGTATAAAATTCTCAGCACTCGTTGACTTCAAAGAAGTTGCTATTATTTTTTACACGATTATTCTTATAAACACTTTTGAACATAAACCTCCTTTGCGTTTTATAGTTGAATAGAAAGCGAATCTACGAGAGAAGTATCGCTGCTTTTTCTCGTTTTTGCGTTTATTTATACGTTCAATCGCGACATGTAAGAAGTA